ACTCCCACAAGGTCACCTGAGAGAATCAGTAAGGATAAATTCGGTTAAAGCGTGAGCGAAATGCCTCAGCCGGATCTCAGTTTCTCTTTTGTATGTCCAATTTGTGTTCGTCTCAACGCAACAAAAATGATGTAACTAAGCTACCTACAACTCGCGTTACATGACCATCAATGAAACAGGGGCGTGCAAACAGCTCGACGACCTTGTTCTCGCGGAGTCGATGCCTCTATCGGAACAATTTCTGCGTTCATTCCAGGCTTAACATGATCAACCTCAAGCTGCTCGACTGAAGTCGAGCGTGATAAGCGATGGCCTGAATCAATTCGAGGCCGATACCTACGCCTTGAACCATGGATCGAGGGCAAGCGGAGCCGGAAGCGTGAAAAGTTTTTGATTGAGAGTAGTTAAGGTGGCCGTTGCTGGACACGGGACGCTGTCATGAACAGAGGTAAACACCTGTGCAACTGATGCGCCGCAATAACGAAGTTAAAAAGTAATATTCCCCCCCCGTACATCAATGAGATAATATGCAACAACGCTCAATTCTCCTGTAATAAATTTTCCGGTAAATGTATCCAGAGAGCTATTACCTTCGACTTCTTTGAAGTTACTGGTAAGTTTATACCAGACCCCGTCCTTAGCGCCCTGTGAGAGATGGATATCTATATACAGAATTGTCGGGGAAAATATCACTCGTGAGATCAGGTCATGCTATGAGTGTGGTGTCTTGGAGAATAAATTAACTGGCAGAGCAATAATATCATGTAAAAGATGAAGAGTTACAATATTTGATTAAAAATTCTAAGTTTATTTTATCTCAAAAAGCGTTAAAATTGTTCTATAGCAAAAATGAAACACTGATAGACTTGTAAAACCCGCTGATTTGTTAGATTGCTATTGTGTAATATCGGAATATACGCTTTAATTTTTCAATCTTAACTCTTGCTACTTCAGCTGGATGTCTTATTGCAAATAAATGGATATTAAGAAGGAGTATTGTTGATAAGTTTTTTAATGTATGTATTGTGACTAATTTCTTTAAATTTCTCTAAACTTTAAAAAAAAATCTTCATTTTTTGTTTCCCTTTGTCTTTATCACTATCACAACTCAAACAAGGGGAGAATGAAACTAAACTGGTTTGAAAAGTTTAGAATTACGGAAAATCTAAGAATATAAGGTTTTGAGTGCCGTGTGTTCTGCGAATCATACCGATGACTACATAAAGTAATAGAATAATCGCTGAACAGACAACTTGGACAAATTTCAATTCTTTGTTAGAGCTCCTTAAATGTTTGGCCAATTTCAAATACCGCATGATACCAAATGCGGATTATGAAACAACTTTCTTAACTGCTATCACTTCCTGGAATGTTGAATAAGCCGATTGCCGTCTTTAGTTTAAACATACGAAGGTCCAGAGTGTTTAGGCCATATTTCTACCGTGCTAGAGTATGAATTCGATGTAATCGCGTACATATGGGCCTCTAAACATAAACATCTCTAGGCCGCCTGATGATACAGAAGTCAAAGTTTTTTGATCAGCTGCTAATATTGTCATTACAACGAGGATCGAACGATTTTAATAAAAATTTAATACATTTATCTCCTCGACCACTCCAAACGATAAACATCAAAAATGATAAATGGATGGTTTAATAGTAACATCAGATCTTCGTCAAGAGTGTAGACAGTCAAAAAACTATCCCAGAGAAAAATGTTGTAGTTAAACTTGGGGTCAGTGACGTAAAATAACGCGAGTTTTCACATCCTCTGACGGCGTGTTCTTCCACGATGTGTTTAATATTTGGTAATGTGAAAGGAGATGGCATTGACCTTTCCTAAGTACTTTGTCGTGTTCACCAGGCGTAAACACATCGCCTGTAGAGCACAGGCGTGGGCACATTACGTGTAAAGCTGACTTCTACACTAGACATACACGCAAAACAAGTGGTCATCAACTTTTGACGATACACTGTGAATTTTTATAGAGACATTTGCGACAACGGATGAGAGCGGAAAAACTTTAAGAATAATAATAAATATTCATAAACTGAAAACACAATTAGGATCAACAACACGCTGAAAAGGAAATGTTCACGCAAACCGATTTTTCTAGAGAGCGGAATGTTGTGATTTGTCTCGGAAGGCTTCATTTAAAAACGGAACTTCCAATACGTTGGCGTATTAAAAGCGTGCCCAGCAGTCGAAAATAAAATATTTCCAAGTCCAACAAGACTGGACTAAATGGAAATTGAGTTTTAGATACCGCAACAGACATCAGCGGTATGTTCGAAAGAGGAAAAAATGAACACCGATTTTTCCAGAGAAC